GGGGAAATGGTCAACTTGCTAAGAACTTCATCCGCCCCATCTCATGCCCTTGCTTGGACCACAGATGGAAGGTGACCTCTAAGAGCCTTAGAATTAGAATCTGGTCCCTGAGTCAAGAAATTCCTCCCAAACCCTGCCTTAAAGTATCCAAATTTGAGGCTGGATCCTGGGAGAAGTGGTTGGAGACCAGCCGAGTCTTCCCTAATTGTCATCATCAAATGCTTCACACTCAAAGTGAAGCATGGAAACAAGACCTGTATGCAGGATCAGAGTCTGGGAAACTAGCATTTTTGGACTACAGGATTCAGGATCCATCAACCAGCTTGGCCAATGACCAGGGGATTTGGGTTGTTGTCATCCAAAGTTCCCATAGTGCCCACCAGGCTTTGTGGTGCATTTATAATAATCTTCGATTGTAGGATTGCACAGCTAGAAGGGACCTTATAGATCATCAAGTCCTCTCCCCATCAAAGAAGCACAGTGGAGAATCAAAATCCCAGCCTCTGGCTCCGCAGCCAGGTGTCTAAACTATATGAAGGAGTTCCTAAAGAGATATATGTAATAGATGAGGACTGAAAGGAGAAAGATGGAAGTAAATTTACCTAAACACCCTATCTTTTCCAGCATATTATCAGCGTATCTTCCAATTCCTGTTTTTGGCCGACCTTATAGAAAAAGGCCGTTCCATTTGCACCTCTGATATTCTCAGTTCTTTGGCTTGTCACAAATATCTTTGCACTTCTCAGTAGACTCCATCAATAATTGCAGAAGTTTGAGACGGCTGCTACCCCACGCCCCTCCAAGTCAGGATGAAAGATGAGTGAGAAACAGAGAATACGAGAGAGAGAGAGAATAAAAGAGGTTGTTAATCCAGGGACTGACTGCTGAGTTTTCAATGTTTCCAGCCTTCTGCAAGCGCTTGTGTCTTTCTTTCTGGCCTTGTTCCGATTTGGAGAAAAATGAAATTGGCGTGTTTAATTTTCCGTAGCACAGCGTAGGCATTCCTGAAGCCATAGGTGAAGCAATTAGCTTCTTCTTCTTCTTCTTCTTCTTCTTCTTCTTCTTCTTCTTCTTCTTCTTCTTCTTCTTCTTCTTCTTCTTCTTCTTCGTCTTCGTCGTCGTCGTCGTCGTCGTCGTCATCATGTGCCAAGTCAATTCTGACTGACCTTTTTCTGAGCTTTTGAAGTAGAGAGTACTGGGAAGTCATTTTTCCCTTCCCTTCTTCTGGAGGACATCCAGGGACTGTGCAGCTTGCCCAAGGCTACCCAGGCTGGCTCTACTTGCAGGAGGCACATAAAAGTTCCAGCCTAAACCACTGAGCTATCCAGCTAGTTTAGGTTGCTTCCTTGCAGTTCACTAATCTTTTCCCCTCTTTTTCTATTTCTAGTTCAGCTCCACTTGTTTTGCCACCCTGTTGACAAGTGATAAGAAGGTGGGGCTTCCCAGCTTCCACGAGCAGAAAATGTTTGCTCCACTCTGTTTGATAGTAGTTTTACAACACCTTGTTTCTTCTGGGCCCTCAGCTTTGTGTTTTAGCAAGACAAACAGCCAGCGAGAAAGTGGCAAGTATTGCCCTCACTCTTCTTTAGCTTCTGATGTCCTTTGACAGCCAAATCTCATTGGCTACATTGTCTCCTTGAGAAGCCAACACAGAGTGATGGCACAGTGACTTGTCCTCACTTTGGGATCTTCTGAGTAAATATATGTATTTGAGAATTTTTAAAAAACTGATACAACTTCCTCTGAAAGTTCTACTTCTGAGCAGGGAAAAACAAACAAATCAACTTCTGATTAGCCCTTCCCTTTCTATTGACAAGTTCAACTGTCCGATCATGTACACGAGTGATAAAGTGTCAGCATATTTACTAACTGCGAACATGGCGGGCCGTCTTCCTTTGAAAAGCTCCAGCGGTACTCAATATAACCTCTTTTTACAGAAGAACGTTCTGGAAAGTAGATCAGACATTTTAAAAAGGCGTGCACATCCCGGCTGACATTTGAGAGCACCCGTTACCGACCTGACCTTTAAGGATCAGCCAATATATAGATACACCATTGTAATTGTTTGGCAACTGGAAAACATTTGATTTATTTTCCCTTTTTCTTTTTGAATTTCAAGAGGAAGGCTGCCTCAAGACACATTATGCTTTGAATATTGCCTTCGCAGTTCAGGGTGCATCGAGGGGGCGATGTCAATGGGGACTAGATTATACAGTTCTAACTCAATTGTACCTTATTTTCCTGGAATGTGCAGATTGAGGTACATCTGTTTCTCTTCAACAGCTTTTGAGTTTAAAAATGGTATTTCCAAGGGCAGATGAGAGCGACACGGAAATTGCTTTTCAGAGGAAAAACTGGTTTGGCAATAAGGTGTTCCTTCGTCTTCTTATTTTTTTTCCCCCTAGTGCTTTCTTCTTAAAATATCCCGGCTTAGTAATGTTATTTTCTCTGCTTGAGAAATGAAATTTGCAGGAACAGCTTCTCTCCCTCCCTGCGGGCCTATTGAGTGCTTTGAAATGGGCCGAGCTCCTTGTGCGGGTTATATATTTCATCACTGCTTAGTTTAGTCCAGTTTTACTGGCAGTAAACGGTGAAGTCTCTTGATGGATTTGGGTGGACAGGACCGGCCCGACCGTTGGATAGATGAAGGCAAGCTGCTTAAGGCATTGGATTTTGTCTTTGATGAAAATGACAGAAAACTGTCTGTTGTCTTACAACGTGTTACTTTTTTCCGTTGTTAGAACTATTGTTGATGTTCTGGAAGGTTTTTGGCTTTCGCCAACAAAATAACATGACTAGAAACCAGTCGGTTGAGGTAGTAAGAGAGGTGGACATGGACTCAGAAAGCTTGGCTTCAAATCCCCCTTCAGCTTTAAAAACTCAATGGGAAGAAAACAGTATCATTGACCTTCTGTTTCATCTCCATTGACACCTCGTTGCCGTTCTGCTGATTTCCTCTCGGCAGGCTTTCCAGGCTATTGCTATTTTTTTTTCCAAAAAGTCAGTTCAGGCCTAGCATTATTACAATTCCCTCCAGAATCCCCCCTGCCCAAGACAGATCCCGGTTTGCAGGAAACGGCATCCCTCGGAGGTAATTTCTCCAAGGAGATCATCCTTTTTGGGAATCAAGTCAGTTTGAAACAGTAAGACGTAAACAGCAGCTGGCGGAAAGCAAGCTCAGCAAAAAATGCAGATGGGCTACTAAAACATTTAAGAGCTTTGACCACTAATAAAAAGGGAGAACATTGCCAAGTTTCCATATGCTGAAGATGATTGGGCAAAGGGCCTGATGTTTGAGCCAGAGGTTGGAAGTTCGATTCCCCACTATGCCTCCTTGACAAGGGATGGACTCAATGATATAGAGTCCTTTCCAGTTCTGCATGATGAGGATGATTAATGGTGGCCTCCTTCAGAAACATCTCAGTTCTTAAAACCGTTGGCTGTCAGTGGTGGAGGAGGCAACACTCCTTTTTACGTTGGGGGTCTTTTGGAAAGGAAATTCCCTCTTTGCTGAATACTGAACATCACATGGAGTTCCCAAAGACACATAGAGATGGTCAGAGACCTTCGTTGTGTGGTTTGAGGGACTTAGTTCTTTTTTTAAAGAAACCGACCTTCGTTGTGTGGTTTGAGGGACTTAGTTTTTTTTTAAAGAAACCGACGCTGGTGTTTGTTGCCCGTGGTTCTCAGTGTTTAGAGGAAGTGTGGAGGAGTCAATTTATTTATTTTTTTAAGAAAGAAAGAGGTCAGGAAAGGAAACCATCAGCCAAGACAAAGAACGCTGAAGGGAAAATATTGACAGGTCTTTTTTTAAAAAAAAATCACTCGGAGATACAGTGGTGCCTTGCTAGACAGTTACCCCGCATGACAGTTTTTTCGCTAGACATTGGCTTTTGGCGATCGCTATAGCGATTCGCAAAACAGTGATTCCTATGGGGGAATTTCGCTGGACAATGTTTGGCCCCTGCTTCGCAAACTGATTTTTGCTAGACGACGATTTTGACAGCTCCCTCTGCGCTCGCAAACAGGTGTTTTCGGGACCTAAGCTTCGCAAGACAGCGATATAAACAGCTGATCTTGGTTCGCAAAGAGGCTTTCCTATGGTCGATCTTCGCTAGACAACAACGATTCTTCCCCATTGGAACGCATTAAACAGGTTTCAATGAATTCCAATGGGGAAATGCTTTTCGCTGGACAATGATTTTGCTAAACAGCGATTTCAGTGGAACGGATTATCATCGTCTAGCAAGGCACCACTGTACTGTGAAAAATACAGATCGTAGGTAAGCAAGCAGGAAAGAAGCAAAGTGTTCTGTGCTGCTGATGAGCCCCAGCTCCTGCAAATACCTTCAGGACCCCTAAGATTAGCAGACAAGAAACCCAGTGGTTCCCCAACCTGGGGTCTCAAGGCATTCTTGGAGTAAAACTCCCAGAAGCCTTCACTGCCAGCTGTGCTGGACAGGATTTCTGGGAGTTGTAGTCCAAGAACATCTGGGGGACTCAAGGTTGGCAAACCTTGAAATAAGCAAGCAAAGCGAAACCTTCCTCCCATATTAAACACCATGGAATTTTCAAGGTCCTTTTAGGACCCCTAAGATTAGCAGACAAGAAACCCAGTGGTTCCCCAACCTGGGGTCTCAAGGCATTCTTGGAGTAAAACTCCCAGAAGCCTTCACTGCCAGCTGTGCTGGACAGGATTTCTGGGAGTTGTAGTCCAAGAACATCTGGGGGACTCAAGGTTGGCAAACCTTGAAATAAGTAAGCAAAGTGAAACCTTCCTCCCATGTTAAACACCATGGAATTTTCAAGGTCATTTTACGACATCCACTCCTTCGTTGAAACAACCTATGTTCAGAAACACCCCCCCCCAATTAACCTGAGCTCAAGGATCAACATTCTGGAACTCCCAGCACAGCCTGACTTAGGATGTCTTGTTGGCTAGTCTGTCCGAGTCTGATTCTTTCTTATTTTCTCCTTCCTTCCCCCTGTTTTCCATCCAGAAGTAATAACAACATGTTCAGTGAGGTGGTGAGGCTGAACTTTGAAATTGCCAGCTTCAGCAGCCTTTCGGGGACACAGCCCATCACGTGGCAGGTGGAGTATCCCCGGAAAAGGACGACGGACACGGCCCTCTCTGAAATCTTCATCTGTCAGAAGGACCTGGTGGGCATCGTTCCGTTGGCAATGGTAAGATAGTTAACACTGATATTCTCAGTGGGCTTTTAAAATGTGTCTTCAGTTTTTTCTATATTGTATTGACAATTTTCTTCGGCGTCACCCTTTCTGTTGACTGATCTATCTGGGAAGTGCCCTCACTCAGAATGTACAAGAAAAGCCAAGTCCGAGTGACAGCAAGTGATGGCAATGTAGAAAAATAAGGTGTTCCTATCAGTCAACATATCCCACAACAAGAATACATCATTCCATCCCCATCCATTTTTCTGTTCCCCCCCCATCAACATTCATCTAGCATCCCTTCGCCATTGAATATACTTGCCTCTCATTGAGCCATTTCTGGTGTCCTCTTCAGGGATTTTCGACCACTGGATTTATTTTTATTTTTTCAATAGACTAGTGTGAGCATAGTATATTTCTGTAAACTTTGAAATTCTAATGAGCTCTTTTGTGTAGGGATGGCACAGGTTTGGCTGCATAAACATCAAGACCAGGAATAAGAGAGAAATGTAGGGAGAGGCTCACATGTTCCAGAAAATATGTAGGAGGGCTTTCCACCCAGAGACTAATGGTTTCCCACTACTACTACTAAAGAATTTTCACGCAATATTATAAGCAGTTACAGATTTCAAAAATAATATAATCAGAGCTACAAACCCTGGCAATATTAGGAACAGCATATATACTATGTTGATATTTAACAGTTACTTAGGTTTTTTGGCTAAAACTTGCATCTGTTATATAATATCAAGCAATGTTTTTATAATTTTGATTTACTTGCCTGGCCAGTTTGGATATACAGTGGTGCCCCGCAAGACAATGTTAATCTGTTCCATTGAAATTGCTGTTTAACGAAAACATCATCTTGTGAAAAGTGTTTCCCCATTGGAATGCATTGAAATCCGTTTAATGTGTTCCAATGGGGAAAATAATTGTCGTTTTGCGAAGATCACCCATATGGAACCCTTTTTGTGAAGCGCCAATCAGCTGTAAAAATTGCTGTCTTGCAAAGCTTTGGTCCCAAAAACACTTGTTTTGCGAAGATTGCCCATAGGGAAGCCATTTTGCAAAGCCGCCGATCAGCTGTAAAAATCATCGTCTTGCAAAGCATCGGGCCCGGGGGAAAAAACCTGTCTTGCGAAGCACAGACTGAAAATCACCCATAGGAAACTCTGTTTTGTGAAGTGCAATGGCGATCGCAAAAACTCATTGTCATGTGGATTCATTGTTTTGTGGGGTCATCGTTTAGCGGGGCACCACTTTATGTTGGGTGTGTGTTGCAGAGTGCCTTGGAAAATAAAGCAGGCTGCCTATTGTGAATGCTGTCATGCTCCGACTGTCAGCGCCTGTAATGGTACGCTGGGGAGCACTGCAACTTGCGGAAATGAATGGATTGGCAGCATTAATTTTAATCTGAGCGTGCCAAGGCTGGCTTCCCTCCTCTTTTCCTTCCCTGCTTGATCACCGTTGATTGTCCTTCGGCAGGATTTGTGGCCTCCCCAAACAATAATAAATGCTCTTACATTGCAATTTATTATACTTGTAAGTTTCCTGAAATCCCCTATTAGTGAAAAAATGGTTACACTGCAGTTTATACGCACTGACATCTATGGAATACCGAATGTCCATATTGGCATTTTTAAAGATACTCTCAGTTTTCCTAATTGTAACAAAGCAGGGTCGCATTCTGTGTCATGGCATCGCTGGGCGCAGGCAAACAAACCCCCTCCAATCAGTGAAGCTGGGATCTCGATATGGAGCAAAATGCAGTGGTTGGAAGAACAGACAGAAGCTTGTTTGAAAGATCACCCTTCTTTTAAAAAATCCTTGCAGATGGAAAACTAGCTCCTCAAGGAAAGAGTCCCCATCTATGCCTTTTCCTGCGATATGTCTATTTGATGGGCATTTTAAAGAAAACTAGAATAAAGAGAGCTAAAAAACGGCCACTGGGGTAAATGGGAGAAAAGGTAGGGGTCAAATCTCTCTCTGTTACGTGTGCAGAATGAGAGAGTGAGAATACTCATTGGGGTGCCTTTTTTAAATCAACCACAGGGGTATCGTGTTCTCCCAGACACATCTCTGCTATGATGCAAACTTGTTGACCACTGCTGAGTGAGACAGTGGGAGGGAAAGATGTAATTGGTTTGATTCAAATCTGATAGGGGCCATTTGGGTCCTTTTAAAGGCAGTATAGAAATATTTCAAATAAGCAATAAAGTCATAGGATCTGTCCAAGGTGATGAACACACTGGAGGGGTGGATAGCTCCTGTACAGTTCGGATTAAAACTCAGCACTGTCCCAACCCCCATGACATCACCAGGCAAAGGTGTCTTACAGATGTCCTGCTGTGCTGTTGACCTAATGTACCCAGCACACATACCTTTGAATTTCTGGGGCACTTTTTAACTTGAAAAAAGGGTTGTGGAGGGGGTGTGAGGCCACCCGGAAGGTTCAGAGATCATGCTTTGCCAGCCCCTAACTTCTGTGATCTATGAGGATGAACCACAGCGCACCTTTGTCCAATACAGCCAAAAATGGGTCATGCACATCACTACAAAACTTTGAAGTTTGTCCGTGGGCACCTGCTTGCTTATTTAGAAGTCTCTTGTCAACTTGGGAGGTTCTCAGAAAGCCGCTGCTGTGGACCACACACTAGGGTGTTCTGGACAGGAAATATCCTATGCAGCTTAATCCATAAAACATCCATGAGACATTTTTCAGACTGCTTTGTCATCATCTTTCCCTTCACTGGGTTAATACTTGTGGCTATCAAAAATTAAAGACAGATCTCCCAAATAAAATTTTAAAAAATCATCAATTTTTTTATTTCATTTTTTTTTTGACCCAACAGTAAGTTCTCTAAAAAGAGCTGCAAAATGTATTGGATTAAAAAGCTCTTATTTGGGTTTGTTTTGGGGCAAAAAGTGAGGCAATAGAGCTTTTATGCCGCTTTCTTTTCCTTCCGCCCTCTTTTGAGATGAGATTCTGGAAATAAAATCCATAAATAGAGGCCCGAATGCCCAAAGGGTTATTTCCTACCGTTGCTTACGAAAAAAATCGAAGAGCCCTAGAAAACCTCCGAACGATGGATTCCATCTGTTAAGAGAAGATGTGCAGTTAATAATAAATAATAAATAAAATGTCCTGTGTATTGGCCCAAGAAAACCCAGCCGGAAAACTTCAGAGGCAGTTGTGAAAAATAACGTATCTGTGGGGCAGCTTTGGCTTAAAATATTTATTTAACAACACTCTTGCTTGGGAGTTGGGAGTCCATAAAAGGCACTTGGGAAAAAAACAGTACCAAAAAAAAGGGGGGAAGCAGAAGGAGTGAAAGAGAAGTGCGGGATAGCTCAGTGGTTTAAGCCTTTGGCTATGGAGCCTGGGTTGGGAGTTCAATTCCCCTCTCCCAGGGCATTCGGCGCGGAGGGAATTGTAAACCAGTTCTGAGAAAGAGGTTTTAGTAAATCTTATTAATTAATTAATTAATTAATTAATTAATTAATTAATTAATTAATTAATTAATTAATTAATTAATTAATTAATTAATTAATTAATTAATTAATTAATTAATTAATTAATTAATTAATTAATTAATTAATTAATTAATTAATTAATTAATTAATTAATAAGATTTACTAAAACCTCTTTCTCAGAACTGGTTTACAATTCCCTCCGCGCCGAATGCCCTGGGACTGTGCAGCTTGCCCAAGGCTACACAGGCTGGCTCCTTAACTCAATAGGGAATCCAAACTCCCAAGTGCCAGCTCCACCCTTAGGAATCTAACTCACAGAGCACTCCAGCCAATTCCGACCCACGAGGACTCGAAAAGCTTTGGGCACCAAAAAATTTTTGTTATGATTCCTGACTCCCAATTCCGAGTTATTACTTAACCAGTTTGAACATAATGAGTTGGGCTTCCGCCCCCTTTGGAAGCTAAGCAAGTTGACTGAACTTTCGCCAAACTTGGTTTAACTAAACCTGGTTAAGCTTTAGAGTGGAGGTCGCTAGAGGTCACCAACATCATGCAGGGTGTGGGACAGTATCCTCTCTAAAATGCTGGAGAACTAATGCTGCCAGTCTGAACTGGGAATACTGAGTCAAATAGATTAACAGCCTATCACAGTAAAGGGCAGCTTTCTATATGTCTATGTAATCAACCCCTCCCCCATCTTAATCTGAGGCTATACTATCAAACAATTTTAATAGCTCTGTCTATATCTGTTTGTAGAAGAAAGGGTGCAAAATACATCTCATTGTTATCACAATCAACCTTTTGGAACAGAAATTCATCATCATCATATTAGAATGGCAGAGATAGAAGGGATCCTATAGATCATCAAGTCCAGCCCATGTAAGGGAGGCTCAGTGGGGGAATCAAACTCCCAACTTCTGGCTCTGCAGACATAGACCTAAACCACACTCTAAATGATGATGGCTGGGATTGGGAGTTACTGATTTTTGGAAAGGGCTCCCGTTCTGGTACAAAACTTCCCTTCCTGCATTGTTTGAGATGTGTTGATTATTATTGCTGCACCGTCTCCCCGCCCCTTCACCCTGAACCATTTCTGGAAATGTATATTTCTAGATTAAATATTCATGGTGTTGCTACTCAGTGGCTCTCCGTTGATCCCAGCTATTATTCCACCTCCGCTAAGTAAATTGCCAAATAAATAAGTTATTGTAGCCATCAGGCCAAAGACGTCGCGCTGCATTTTTAATTTTGGCCCACCAACGGGATGGGAGATGAATAATAATAAGACGGGAAGCATCATCCCTTTTGGGGAAAAAAAATTAAAAAGTTTTAGAGTTTTTGAAGACAATGGGGCTTTCCCTTCCGGGGCTGTTTCAAAAGGCAAAAGTAGGATTTACTGCATCAGGATAGTGTGTGGAAGTAAAATTGCTTGCAATTAAATCCTTTTCCTGGGTAACGAAGGCATACATAACTAAGTTACATCACAAATGTAAACTTAATCTTAGAACTGCAGAATTGGAAAGGGACCTCATGGATCA